ACAAAGTGACACTAAATCTTTTCTTAATTTTAATTTTTACTATTTATTTTTAGTCAAAAACAACGAAAAAAAAGGTCATTTTAACGTTTTTTTGTAATTTGTCCCCCATTTTTTTATTTATTGATAAAATTTTATATATTACTGTCATTTTGTAGCTGAAGTCATACAGAATATAAAACCATTTTACTTTTATGTTTCAGGTAAGTCATTCTCAAGTTCTGATGGAGCTACCAAAGCACTAAAGTTTTGAGGTGTTTTTTTAAACTACTGTTTTTGCAATAAAAAATTAATTAAAATGAAAAAACAAAAATTTATTTATGTAGTTTAAGACTCAATTTAACAAACCCAACAACTTTTATATCGGTATCTTTTATAGTTTTCTTGGAAAAAATTCGCGAAAATAGCCTTTTTTTTGGGTGCTTCAGGTGGAACGTCCCCTTAACTCAAAGAATATCTAATTTAGTCAAATTGTTGGCTGATGCAAAATGGAGATTGRATCTTCATACGAATTCTTATTTTATTAAAAACGTAGGCTTACCTGAAAGCTACACCTGTGAAATGAATCCTAATACCTTATTAAAGGAAAATATAACGTATCCACAAGAGAGATTCAACGATGTTGTTTTTTATCAAAATCAATCATAGCAGCGATTCAGAAGATAACAAAATAAAAACGGATAGCAGATCTGCTCCGAAGCAGATATTATTGTTGGTAATACTAATGAATGGAATCAATCAAAGAATAAAACCATTTTAAATAATTTCATTACAAAAGATGCAGACCAATCGACATTACATATTAATTTGATGTTATCGTCTAAAGAAAGTTTAGTCATCCAATCTTTATGGAAAAATGATCATGTTAAAGCCCAAGAAGTTATAGAGATATGTTTTTGATTGATTTATTTAAACTAACATTATTACTTAGGTTTTATTCAATTTGTATATATTCCTATTAATATTATATATTTTTAATCGCAGTTTCAAACTTGTCATATATGTCTTGTTCAAATTCTGATGGTTCATATTTAATAGGTTTCTTTTTATTATATTTTGGTATTAAAATACCTTGTGGATTATGTGTATAATATTGTTTAACAAATATTATTCTTTCTCTTTGAAAGCAAATTTTACAACGGAACCAACAGCAACACCATCCTGTTATATATATAAAAAAAAAGAACAAATATAAAATATTAATTATTTATTTAATCTTTCAAAAAATATGGCATATATAAAATAAATCATTTCCTCTTTGGCACCAACATGGAATCGCAATGAACACATAAATGCATAGCAATACTTTAATAATCAACCATATTTTTGATAATGTTTCCTTTGCTTCCATCGTGTCTTTAACATTTTTATAATTATAAATTAAACATTTGATAGCTTTAATACCAAAATATTTCATATCTTTGTTAGTACAATATTTTGTATCATTTGAAATAATAACTCCTTCAAATGGTTTCTTAGTCATTTTGTCTTTTGCATAGGTATACTCTAATTTGTCGCTTATATATTTATGTTTTTTCAATTGTTGTTCATAATCCATTTTAAGTGCATCATAGTCATAATCGCTTTTATCTGTAAACTCTGTTGTATCTCCCATAGTTGTACTTAAATCTATATATTTGTTAATTTCTTCTGCGCTTATAAATAACTGAGGTGATTTCTCTTCTTGATGTTTAAGCCTGATGACTTTTTTATTTTCTATACATTGATAAATAATTCTATAAATATATTATCTTGTATATATTGGCTTTGTCTTAGATACTGAAAATAATTATTTTCATTTAATTGTTATAAATTTACTTACCAAACGATGATGTCGAATCACGTGTTAGTTTCATTAAATTGAAAACATTTGTTCTTCTTGGTGACAATTTGTTGTTCTGTTTTGTTGAAATTTCTGAATAATACTAGTAAATAGTATAATAATTTTCTATGTATTATTATAGCACGTCTCTTATAAAGTATAATTTAAAAAACAAAAATATTAATACTTTATTTAATTGATTTTTAAATCCAGCTATATGTGGTTCCTCTTCTTGGAGTAAATTTATTATTTCTGCTTTGTCCAGTTTAGAAAAAGGAAAAGTATCAGGTATTTGTATTTTATTATTAGCAACACGTTGATTATATTGTTTTACATAAGAATGTAGAGGTTTATATTTATCTTCATCTCTTTTTAATATTTCTGGATTTAAAATATCAGCAATTTTGATCATTTCATTTTCATTTTCATCATCATCATTATAATTATCATATGGATTTATTTCTAATATTTCTTCATTCTTTAAATTTACCTATATAATATATAATACAAATATAAATAATATTTTTTAAATGAAATATTTAATTATAATATTGTTACAAATTGAATATACTTAACATCATCAAAAGCTGTGTTATTTAAAATATAACAACTTATTATTCCTATAATAATAACTGCTCTTTCCATATGTCTTTATTTAATTAAATTATCAATTAACATTATCACATGTAACATTAAAATTTTCTTGATTGTTTAAACAGATGTTCAATATGAAAAATACAGCATTGGATAACGAAATTCAATTTTCACAAGCACTGTTAAATTTCAAACAGGAAATATTAAATTCAATAAATCCTTCGATTAAAGCTAATATTTCCAAGACAAATATCAAGTCTACTACATTGGAGGTAAAATATGAATATTTCAACTATTTTTTTTTTTGTATAATTCTCAAATTTTATTTTGATCTTATTACAAATAGTATTATCATTTTTACAGACCATAAGATTAGTTGCACAAGAAGCTATGCATTCTTCCAGATATACTAATCAACTTGAAACGTTTATTGCTTCGCAAGAAGCACATATGAGAATGTTGAAAGCAAAAGTTAATAACAACAAGATATTGACTTTAAGTGTCTTAGATTTAGCCTTAACTATGGGAAAAACTTATCCAATATCTCAGAGTTTTTGTGACGTTGCTATGAAATATGTTACATTATGCAAATCATTGGATAACACTGAACACAGTCATTTGTTTAGACAAATATTTCAATTATTACATGAAAATAAGAAAGATATACCTGTGAATAATTTATTATGTAACGTTACAATTCCATTATCCGTCAAAGATTGGAAAGAAAAGAATGAATTATGGATAAATATTATGACCGGATATAATGAATTTAAAATATCACAAAAACAAATGATTGACAAAGAACATATTAAAAATAGCAAAAAATTTAATGAATTAAAAATAATACAAAAATTAATAACATGTTGTAATAATGGTAAAAGTTTTCTAGCAAATTTACAATACCATTTGCAACATTTAAAATCAATCGCTCCTAATAATACAGGTATAAATAATTATCTTATTTCGTTTTTATAATAATTATTATTTTCTCTATACATAATATATCAATTTAATTAATGTTTGTCTTTTATTTTTTTTTTTATTTTAGATAATACAGAATTGTTAACATCAACGAAATTGTTACATATCCCTCTTCACAGGTATTTTAGTTATCATCTTTTTAATAAAAATGTTGAACCCGAAAATCTTGAACAAATTGCTGCAAAATTAAAAGTTAATTTAGTGTACAACATTCTTATAAGTACTTTCCCGATATTTCCATATTATCATAATAAAAAATCTGAGAAAGATAATGTTAATTCTGGATGTATAATACTAAATGGAAATTTGGATGCATCTGTAAGTACGAATGACATGTGAAAATATCTAAGATTATTATTAATAAACTTTATTAATGTTTTTTTTTTTTTTCAATTGCATGTTTAACAGGGTTCAAGGAATTCTGTATCGAGTAATCCTTATCAGTGCATTTCAGAGATACTGATGGAACTTTTACAAGCATTACACACCTTAACTTCAGTTAAATCTAATTTACCTTATTCATGTTTGAATGATCTTTCAAAACATGTTAATATTCAAACTATATTGAAGAAAACATCACGCCTTGCAATGTTGGATCTTAGCGAATTATCTGTTGGAGATGAAACGTTGACATTTTTTTAAAATACTTGGAATGTTATGTTCATACATACAATGTTACTTATTTGGGCAAACAATTCTTCATTCAATATTTTAAAACATACGGTTTCCTTGATGTCCATTGGTTACATTATCGGTGATTTAGGATTTGTAACACTTTATACTCTTCGTTCCAAATTGTTAAGTGGTCTTTTATTAAATGAAATATCCTTATCACCAATAACAGAACTTAATGAGCCAGCATGGCAAGATTTAGATTTAATACACGATCCAAGAGTTATTTTTGCCATGGCTAATGAATATAACGAAACACCACGAATATGCGTAAGTATTTAATTCTTTCTTTTTATTTCTTTTAATGCTGTTCAATTAATTTATATATGTATGTTTAATTTATAATATTATTATATAGGTTTTTGAATCGAGCACATTAAGTGAGAGCTTAAACGAAGCAGCAAAGGAATATTTGGATTATTATTTATAAAAAAATTATCACATTGATAATATTGACAAATTAAAAGAAGAAACAAAAATAATATTACCACATCTCGTAGAACAATATGAGAATTTGTTGCATTTGGATAAACAAAATGAACATGTTAGTAATGGGAAAGAAAATATATTTTCTATAAAGAATTATTTCCAATTGAAAAATGAAGATGTGATGATCGAATATAAATCAGCTCATTACTCTTATGAAATATTATTAAAATATGAAAACAATTATCAACTTTCTATACAAATTTGTCAAACTAATAACGACGAGGAAGTATTTACTAGTGAAAAGTTATTGATTAAAGATAATCTGTTACAATATTTGGAATGTCATTGTTGGATACTTTCTTATTTAGTACAAAAAATGCAAAACAAACGTCCATCTATTTTAGATAGAAGTTATAATAATTTACAACGTATCTCATGTTTGGAAAATTTGTTGAATTCATCTTGGGTAAGCCAATTGAAATGTTTCTTTAATGAAAATGAAACTTATACTGGTATTCACGAAACAATACTAACAAATAAACTATGGAATTGGTTTAAAGAATCCTGGGATAATAAAAGATGGGAAAATTGTTTGAATGTTATAGATTCTCTATCAGATAATAATATTGTAAAAACTTTTGAAGTACATCACTTTAAGGATAGAGTTTTAAGTTGTTTAACATCTGAACAAGAAAATACGATGAATCCATTAGAAACATTAGAATATTTATATCAAATTAATGACATACATACATTAGCCCAAATAATATTAAATAATATTAGTAAATGGCAGGCCTCTGTATGCGAATGTATTTTAATTCATACACTTAATCATGCGGATAGTAATAAATTACTTTTACATTGTAAATTGCAAATGAATGAAATATTACGCAGAATAACTATTTTCCGTAAAATGTTACCATATTGTGGAAATGAAAAATATAATATGTGGTACGATGTGGCATACTATACCAATAAAATTGATCCGTTTGATATAATACAATCGTTGATCAGTGCTGACAAATTTGAATTATATTTAGAATGGTTCGAGTGTCAATCTTTTACATTAGAAGCACAATCCTCTGTTGCGCAAGATTTCTTCATTGSTTTATTAAAAAATGAGAAACAAGATTTTAAACAAGCTTTAAAGGTAAACAAAATTAATTACGATATATATGAATTATTAAGTTCTTATTTACAAGGTCAATTTTTGTTTCAGCTTATTCAATCGTTACCACATAATTATGCAATGAAATTATGTAAAGCCGTACTTCAAAAGGTTGAATCTACCAGTGCACTATCTTTCCTCGTTAATTATTTCCTACAATATTGCAAGAAAACTGAAATCATTAAATATAAAAGAACTTTRATCAGTATAGATATTTTAAAAGAATTGAAAGAAAAAGAAAGATCATTGTACATTCATCTTATAAAGGATCCACTTTTAATGTTAGAACAATTATTAATGAATTGTAAATTTGAAACTCTTCAAAAAATATTAAGTGTAGTCTCTGTAAATTTGCAAGATACAGCTATATCAATAACTGAATTTGATRAGACTATAAGGTTTTACAGTAAAAAAGCGTTAGACTTTAGAGTTTCTTTACAACGTGACATTA